ATCAGAGAGATAGTGCCGGTGATGTATGGGGGAGAAAAGACGACAGTCGAAAGGTGGGTGGTTCGAGAAGGGGAAGACTCAGGGAAGTGAGGTTGCTGGCCTTCAGGGCTGGCATTTAAATTACGGACACCCCATAATCATAATCAGAGGCGGAAAAGGGACGGCCGACGTGGATATTTGGGCAATGGGCGTGTGACTGGATCGATCCAAACGAGCCAAAAAGAGCCCACCACCACTATCAATCGCTCTCGACGAAGTACGTAGTAAGCCTGTCTGTCTATGCTGAACTATCCAGGACCAGTTATCCATACATTACCTGGTTCCATACTCGGTGCAGCTACAGAGTATAGACAGACACTTCACCATACTGCGTAGGGGGTGAGGGACTTGGACTGGAATTCAGGGGCTCCCATGAACGCACATGCTCCCTCTGCTACCACGCTACCAAACCGTCCCGACGCGCTTGCCAGCCTGCCAGATACAAAGTTGCACTCCTGACACCTTCACAAGGCGGTGGGATGTTATGTAGAACACATGTATTTACATACACAGTAATGCATACTTAGTTAGGTACAAGCTAAGGTGCGGATGCTGTACAAGGTACTTGAAGCTTGAGTGGAGACGAGATATCCATTTTTAAGATACCTCAAGTGTCCGTGATGTGTAAGGATAGGTACTTATGCATCTACACAGCACCGGCGCGGACATGTGCCTCCTCTCTGCAGGACGTCTGCAGCAGTGTAGCAACCCACTCACCACTCAGTGCCACTGGCCCTGGACCGTCCTCTCTCGCTTCTCGAATTCAACTGCAGGGACCCCGAGTGGGAAATCCATTGGCTCAGCCGGGGTCAATTTACCAGAGAACATGGTTCTGGAAGGAAGCTCATTTCCTCCGGGCCACTGCTCTGGTATCGAAATGCAGCTTCTCCAGACACGAAGAAGAGAAGTGGTTGAATGGCAGTGACTCTTTGGTTTCATCATTTAGAGTGGTGGGTGGTCACTGGTGATGGGCCCTGGGATCTCTCATCGCTGGCCCCTTTTTTCTAGCTTGGGTTCTCGTGATCATCCATCCTTTGGGCCTCAAGAGTCGAGTCTAAGAGTCAGGAAACAGAAGAGGCCAACTGGCCCCCAATGATGCCCCTCCCACCTGAAATTGGCGTTCTGAGCTGGTCGGGAGATTGTATCAACGATGGCCGTGCTAAAAAGCCTCAGCGAGCGCATCTGCTGGACGGTTCCTTCGGGAATCGGGGCACGGGCAAATTGGACGAGACGAACAGGCCGGCGCCAGTGTCAGTCTGGCAGACATCGGAATCGGCTAGCCGGAGAGCAATGACTCTGTTCCGGCTCGTACCTGACTAGGCTGGTTGGCGTGACGGGTGTTGGCCGTTGATTTCCAATTATCAAACGTTCCCTCCTGTGTCTTTTCTCTCTTTCTTTGTCTGTGACTTTGTGATTCTGACCAGCTCCATTCCCGTTCGCTTTCTTTCCCCTCCAAAATGCAAAGCTACGTATCGAGATACTTATGCACGGTCTCCTGTTTCAGATAGCCTCTTCAATCTCCTATCCGTTTTGTGCATTAGTGCGTAATCTGCAGAGCCCATCGTGTATCTTGTAACTGCATGTGGTTTGGCTTACCGCCTTTTGTCGTCTAACGTACCTTAGCTCTGGCCCATTATACAGGAACATAATGCATTATTCGTTGAAAGAAAGGGGGGGTCCTCCTCGAGCCCCTCAGACACGCGGGGACAAAGGAAGAGAAAAGACGCGCAGGTATCCGTACAGCAGCGAAAGGAGAAAAAAAGTTAGCATTGTTGACATTCAGGCCCGTTTCATTATTGCTAATATATCCGGCTGCTCCAGCAACTGCAAGAACGGCCCCATCTCCCATTATCAATCCATAACCTCAAAACTCCCATCATGCTCAGTGCATCGTGTGCCTCAGAATTCAATGTCCGTGGTGAGGAGAAGTGATGTATCTGGAACACTGGATATCTGGGACCCCCTCTTCTTTCTACCCAGTTGTTGATCAATCCAGTCTCGATCCCGCCTCCGATATGTGTCCAGTCGTGTCCACTAATAGCAGTGGCAATTGAACATCATCTCCCATCTCGGGACGGAGATACGGAGGGGAAGGAGCAAGGACTGGACTCAAGGACTCCAGCTTCTGGGGTTGGTCATACCGCTCCCCGGCGCGAGGCGAACCTCCCGTCTTCTGGAAGCTCGCAGTAACAGGGAAGAACCGGGTTTGGGGTACCTTTTCCCGCTCTTCGACTCAACGACTCCTCGGGGGACCGTTCCTTTCCAACACGCTAAGAAATGCAGAATGTGGGGAGGAAATTTCTCACCAGTCTCGGCCCTTGCTCCAGGTCTGCCTATAGGCCACTCCTCACTCTCTTTCATGAGCTCGCTCATATGCCGACTGGACAGGCTTCCCGGGTACTGTCCGTCCCATGGCCGAAAATCGGCAACGAGCATATGTATACTTTCCTTCTCAGAGGATGGTTCTTGTGCTCACTTATAACCAGCGATGGACGGAGGACAAGGTGGGTGGACGCTGACAACATCGTGGCTGACAGCGCATCAACCCCCAAGCCTGCCGAAGCCAAGTTCCAGGTAGAACTCAAAGCCCACGAACCCGGTCAATTGACGCGAAAGCGAATCAAAGAGAGTCCCAAGACGCGCTTCTGGTGCTACCGTGCTGTGTGCATCCCAGATTCGCCAATGTAACCATGACTTGACGCAATAGTGCGGAATCAACCGTGTTTTACAGAGCTCCGATGCACACCCGCAAAGTACGTACCGCGGCTAAGGTAAGCCAGTGAAGGCACTGAGGACCCTGGGCGATCGTGTTAGTGCCGACCACCAATTGGTCGCTCGCCGGATCGGCCCTCGGTGTGCATGGCCCGTACCTCCGATATCGACCGTGCAGGTGAGGTGGGCTATTTTTTACTTTTGCGACTCATTCCCTCAGAGCTTTTGCTGCAAACAATCCCTCATCCATCCGCCAAACCAGCGCTTTGGACGCCAATTGACGCCCATCATGTCTGTCAGAACTCTTAGAATCGGTAAGACTGCCTTTGGACAGGTCAATTGACTTGTCATCCGTCCCTTAAACTACCGTGTCCAAACTAACACACCTACCCTCAGGCCTCATCCCCGGTGACGGCATCGGCAAGGAGGTCATCCCCGCCGGCCGCCGCGTCCTCGAGGCCCTCCCCTCCTACCTCGGCCTCAAGTTCGAGTTCACCGACCTCAAGGCCGGCTTCGAGACTTTCGAGCAGACGGGCGCCGCCCTCCCCGACAAGACGGTCGAGATCCTCAAGAAGGAGTGCGATGGCGCCCTCTTTGGCGCCGTCTCCTCCCCGACCACCCCCGTCAAGGGCTACTCCTCCCCCATCGTCGCCCTGCGCAAGAAGCTCGACCTCTACGCCAACGTCCGCCCCGTCAAGACCATCCTGACCGCCGCCAAGCCCATCGATATGGTCATTGTCCGCGAGAACACCGAGGACCTCTACGTCAAGGAGGAGAAGACGTACGATGGCCCCAACGGCAAGGTCGCCGAGGCCATCAAGCGCATCTCGGAGAAGGCTTCCTACCGCATCGCCGCCATGGCTGGCGAGATCGCCCTCCGCCGCCAAAAGATCCGTGACGCCGGCGCCGCCAGCATCCACTCCCGCCCCCTCGTCACAATCACCCACAAGTCCAACGTCCTCTCCCAGACCGACGGCCTCTTCCGCGCCACCTCCAAGGCCGCCCTCGCCGACCCCCGCTTCGCCGGCAAGGTGTCCGTCGAGGAGCAGATTGTCGACTCCATGGTGTACAAGCTCTTCCGCCAGCCCGAGGACTACGACGTCATCGTCGCACCCAACCTGTACGGCGACATCCTCTCCGACGGCGCCGCTGCCCTCGTCGGCTCCCTCGGCCTCGTGCCCAGCGCCAACGTCGGCGAGGGCTTCGCCATCGGCGAGCCCTGCCACGGCAGCGCTCCGGACATCCAGTTCCAAAACATTGCCAACCCCATTGCCACCATCCGCTCCGCCGCGCTCATGCTCGAGTTCCTCAACGAGGAGACCGCTGCCGCCAAGATCTACGCTGCTGTTGATGCTAACCTCGAGGAGGGCAAGCTTCTTAGCCCCGACTTGGGCGGTACCGCCAAGACCACCGAGGTCATTGAGGATATCCTCCGCAGACTGTAAGGTGGTGGTGTGATACTAGTGGATGGATTTTGTTTTATTTTGAGAGGCTAAACTCATGAGGACTGGATATGGCAGTCGACGCGACGGTAGTCGCGCCTTTGATACCTACCATATTACCCAAAAGCATATGTTTCTTGACTTGACTTGAGCCAGTGTTCTCTGAATCTGCATAGTGTCAATGTGAAAAGATGTGAAGGGACTGGAAGGAAAATAAACCGTTTTATTGCTCCTCCACTTATCATAACCTGAACAGCGCGAACTCGACAGGTAGCGATTTCATCTCAGTCTACAGGGGACATTGGAATAAACACTCACGAATAAACGACAACCACTCCACCCCTGCCTCTATAGCGCAAAGTTATCTGAATAGGAAGCAATGAGCGCCGTCTGAATGTGTCTATGACCTAGTGGTGGAAGTATTTACGCATAATTGGGTCCTGCAAAGGTTGCGAGTTCGAATTTGGTGGTCCTACATAATGCCACAGACAGCTCATCTTTTTTGTTATGTTTTGCTATGATCCCTCAAGGACCCCAACATCATAGGAAGCACTGCATCGACATGACTTATTTGCAGAAAATCAAGGAATTCTTGTATTAGGGGGCGTCTATGCCTTGTACGCAGCACTCGATTCGTCTCTCTATGGACGAAGTTGGGTATCATTCCTCACCAAAACCACATTGCACCAACTATCGCTCTTCCAAAAGCTCCTGCCTCTGCATCATAGCTCCTCCGCTGTATATCATTATTTCCAAATGCTTCGTTGATGCAAAAAGCCGTATAGCCAAAGAAGATCTGATGTCGCTTCAGGACCACTCAGACTTGCGCGGATCGAATTTACGGCAGTGGCCACACTCGCAGATGAAGCCGTACTTGTAATAGAGCACCGAGGGATCTTGACCGTATGAGATCGTCAGCTCCTCGCCCTCTTCAATCACCCAGTCCCTGACAGTGAACACGAGAGACTCGTGACTGGCACGGTACTTGTAGTCAATCTTGGGCAAGCAGGAGTGATTGAAGCGGCCCGCAATAGCGAAAAGACCAGGCATGTTCCTCTTGTTGCCCGACTTTGAGGGGACATATGCCGCGAAACTGTTATCCAATCAGGATTAGCAAGTCGATGAGAGAATGATAAAAGCTATTCACTTACGCGTTCGTGTTCCAAACCGCCTCCTCGTGGGTCTCGCCTTCCCGACCTTTATGGCCAAACATATCATTGGCGATCAGGCGCTCCTTCTCCGGCAAAGATTCGACAGACGTGGTCACATCTGCGTAGATGGCATGATAGAGAGCCTTTTCGACGAGGATCTGGTCGCCCTGGTACAGCTTCTTGCTCGCGAAAGCGCCCCAACCAGCCGTAGCAGACCTGCGAACCTCGAAGAACTCGTTCGAGAAGATCGACAGCCTCTCCTTGGTGCCGTAGGCGTTCTTGTAGGTTGTAAGGAGCGGCAGTTCAGCAGGTTGAAGAAGGATCTGAGGTTCGATCTTGCCGAATCCATTGCTTTAAATTGTTAGAACAGGCAGGTGGTATTTGGAGGAGATGACTTACCCTTGGGTGGGTTCTTCGGAAGTGACGCTGCTGGCACTCGAGCTTGGGGACCAATCTAGGTAATATCCATTCTCTAGTTCATAGACCTCGTCATCATCATCATCCTCATCGACATCTCCATCGACAATAATGCCTTGCGCAATATAGACAGTCTTCCAAGTAATCTGGGAATGAGGGATAGGGGGGAGAATTGAGTCTATGAATGCCTGAAACTCCAGGAACTCGGCCTTGATTATCTGTGTGTAATAACTATTAGCCCGGTCCTTCTATTTTCGGATTCAAGGTCGCACTCACCTCGAGCGGCTTGCTCTGGTTCAGGATGTTATTGGCCAGTTTGGCTTCGGCGGCAAGGTCGAGCAAAGTATGAAGGCTGTATGTGTCGATGTGAAATTTTGTCCGGACTTGGAAGTCAACAAAGAAGTCGTCACAGGCCATGCCTTGTCTCTGAGGATAGATCACTCCGAGAGTGAAGGCTGTGAATTTATTGACCTCCATCGTAGAAGGAAGGTGGGTTAGTGATGATGGAGTTGGGAAGTTTATCCTCAGTGAGATTCTGAGCTACCAATTAATAAATTAATTTTCCTCTTGCGGTCGCTCTTGCTTGATTCCTTTTTTTTAAGCAATCAGTGCAAAAAGGGTTGATGATGTTGTTTTCGGAGGAAAGTAAAGCTTGACAGTGTAGTGCCAAAAACTTCTTTCGTTTGTGTGATCAGTGTTGGGGATTGTTTAGAGCAAACGAGTAGAGTCGGAATATGAAGTAAAAGTGTTGACTGCCCAAGGAATATTTTTGTCAGCAAAATTTAAGCCGCAAAAATGCTGCTGCTTTCGTTGTCAAGCAATCAGATTATGATGTGTCCACATACTGAGGGAAGTGTGTGCCAGGATTCACGTGAGGCGAATATACCGGCGGATGTTCAGAAGCAGTAGCCTGGTGGGAACAAAAAAAAAAAGAAGAAAATATTATTAAAAAACCTCAATGTTGTAGAAATCAAAGAAAGCTTTTGGATAGTTGTCCCTGTTTTGAAGCAAAAATCTCAAAAGCTGAGCAGGGGAAGTGAAAACTTAGTGAAAAGTGAGGAGGAGAGGATTCAAAGGGTAAAGTTGAGGTGAAGTGAGGCTTTTAATCAGGGCTAGATGGGTTCGTGTTCACCTCATTGTTTTCACTCCTTCCTTGATCTGGTAGGAAAATTTGGGGGGTACCGCACCCAGTATTATAAGATTGATTCCAACGGCAGGAGCCAACTGTGGGTGATAGTTTCCCACTCTATGGTGAGGCTGGAACAAATGCAATTGTAGAAACAGCGTGAGATCCTTATCACATCGCTTTGGTTAGAAAGTCTTCTGTAGAAACCAAAATTTATATCATGGTTGTATGTGACAGAGGAGCAGGTACGCATCGTTTCTTAAGAGTGAGGGAGCCGGGGGCTTAAAGCCAAGGTATGTTGGCATCAAGTCAATCTGAAAGTACTTCAAAGTCAGTCATCTCCCACTGAGTCAATCATCTTGAGTACTAATGAGACTTTAGACCTTCTAGGGTCACTTAAGGGACATGTCTCTCGATGGAGAGGTTTTACGAATAAGGACAGAGCGACATCCTTGAGGCCAAAGACTCAATATGTCAACCAATCCGTCAAGGCAGCATCTTTGAGAACGAAGGTACCAGAAAAAAGCTATCTCACAGCACTTCGGACAGTTGAAACCTCATCTCTACTTCCTGCAAGTCTCGCTTGAAAGGGGCCTTGAGGCAGGTAGATAGACATACCGTCTTGTGGCCAATATTTACATCCTCTTTATAGACGTCTTTCCTTGAGGTAACCACTAAATGGTCTCGAGCTGAACACAAAGGCGTATGCAATAGCAACATGGGCAAAAGAAAGCAACGCTAACAAAATGAGAAACACAATAATAGTAGGATCATCCAGTAGAATCATCAGCTGAAGAGCCAACTTGGATGGAATTGCTTCAGCCTATGTGGTTGAATTCAACCCGACAGCTTGAGCCGTGCCGCCGTACCGATCCAGCCACTCGACTGACAGTCATCGGCCGGCCCAAACCCGCGTCAACGCCTCCTAGCATAGAGAGAGGGCGTCCGAAAACTGTGGCAGGCAAACAAGACGAAAAGCCAGGCAACGGCCGGCGCTACGCTCTGCATGTGTTACAACGCAAGTCCGGAACCGGAAGACGAGCCGATTGCGACAATGCTGCTAAATGCAAGTGTTCATCCGTCAACCATGGCCCAGGCGCAACGTCGCAGATTTCAGCCAGCGCCCTCAACAAACCGGGCGTTGCTCCCCCGTTTCAAACAAACCGCAGGCAGGGAGCGCTCGGTCCAGGAGTATTTGGCCTGAGCAGAAAGCCAAGCCTCGTGGGAAATCGAGAAACATTCTGACAGATGCCGCAGATCAAACTTGGTTCTTCGGAAGAATATCAGCAAAGTGGTAAAGTTGCCCAAAAGTGAAGTACAATGTGAAGCAATCGTTCGCACGGTAGTGTGTGCCTATGACTGTTTTGGCTGCGCTTGTCAAACTCACTCGCCTGTCTGAGAAGACTCTTGTTCATGTTGACTTACAATTCCAAAGAGAGAGATTGTGGATCTGACTCTGCGACAATAGGCAAGGTTTCGACTTCTGAGGTCTAAAGCAATGAGTCACTTGTGTCTCGATATCCACAACGTCTAGATGCGCGTTCTTCGGGGAACCAGCCGGGAGGGACACTTGACAAGTGCGTAAAGTACGACCCAATCGAGTCCGCCACGAGTTCTTTCGGGGCATTTGTTTCGCGCTTTGACAGAAATAGTCCGGAGCTTATGCAAGGTCTTCCCGCCGGGAGTAGTAAGGGAAAGGTTTTTTGAAGTATGCAGGGACGAAGAGTAAGAAGAAAAAGGCGCAAGAGACGCTTGGTGTCGCGCAGAGACGGAGAAATTGCCTCACGCCGGTGCATAGCGAAGTCGAGCGAAGCATCGACAGACGGACACATGTCTTGAGTCGAGCATCATGCCTGATGACGTATCTCATGGGTCGAAGGTTCGTGACGGGGTGAAGCATGCGTGAAAAGCAAAGCAACCTGGAGATAATCTGATGAGAAACGTTGCGTGTCCTGTCGAAGCTTAGCCTTGCTCTGTTATGATAGGGATAGGGCTGATGAGTGTCCAGCAAGAGTTGGCTGTATCTAGGAGCATCCATGAAGATCCCGTCAGATTCACGGGAGGGAATATGAAGTGCGAACGGGAGCGATGGAATTAGCCACACTAAGACTGAGAGGGACGGGACTTAAGATAGTCCTGCAGTGGTTGGCAAGTATGCGCACCGCCTCGTTGGGATCGATCATCGCACCGAAGGAGTGGAACATTCCACGTGATGTCCGGAGCCGGTAGACCGGCAGGTCGTTCTTCGACTCGGACCCTTCTCATGCCGCCCACTTTTCAAACTCTTGGTCAGGAGTCGCATCTTATTCCTTCGCACTGCATTTCCCAAACTCGATGAGACGCCCTGTCGGCCGTTTAGTTCTTGAGTTTGAACAGAGGGAGAAAAAGTTCTTTCTCTCGGCACTGACACCTCTGGGAGCAGCCCACAGACGAGCGAATTTCTTGCACCCGGGGCAGGGTTTAGAGTCTTGGAGAGCAGAAACGACAAGAAACTGTGCTGGTCTCCATTCCGTGGGCTCTGGAGTCTATCCGAGCTTCAGAGTTGCAAAGAAAGCTTCTCCTCCGTCCGGCCCCGCGTGCCGGGAGACCCGTTGGCATGGTCAGCCATGCCCGAAGCTCACGCCTCGTTCCGCGACTGGGCGAAGACATAGCCAGGTAGCAAAGCTCAATGTTTCTGCTGCCTTCTAGGAAGGGTTCCGGGTCCGATGTTCAGGCTCAACCCATCGTTTATCGTTGCAAATTGCTGAACTCACTGCCCAAATTTCCATGTGTTACCCTGGTCAACTCGCAAATGGTTCCTTTGGCCCGTCTTGTGCCCGGAAGGGGTATATCGTAACCCATCATTTCTCTTCCTTTCCCACCCCCTTGGGTAGTCTTGATCCGCCAGGCTTCCACGTCCGATCATCGAACGCAGCTAGAAGGACCGGGTCTCGCCAGGAACCCATGCCGCGGTGACCCTACTTCAGACGGAGGATTGCGCCCTCGGCCGAGTCTCATCAAGAAGTGAAGCCCACATGCGCAGCAGGCACATGTCAAGTAGCTTGTCCCAATGCAATGCGCGAGCCTCTTGTTTTTTTCTGTCTACACTCTACTCTTGTTGCGATCCCTCCGGCAGCCAAAAGTCATCCTTGCTTCGGCATTTCGTCATACGGTCCGATGGGATGCCATGCCATGCCATGCCGCCGAACTTTCCTCCAGGGTGCAGCCCGCCGGGGAGCTATACAAGCCATGGACGTCCCCGTCTCTTTTTGAAAGAACGGGCTTTCGTTATCTACCATCCCATGATTGACTTAGTCCACTGTTATCAGAAGCATTACTCGCCTTCACTTGCAGTCTACACATAAGAATGAGCCTTTCTTCTCACTTATCTGGAGTTGCTTCATCACATCTTTCCAGCTTCAATCATCAAACACATTGATCGCTCATTACTAGCCAATTTTCCACCTTGTACTTCCCGAACTCGTCATCTGTACATCAAGCAAGGTCTCTTTCAGGTAAATATATACTACCTCGTACGACAGCAGAGCAAAGTACTCACACTAGCCAACAGTTCTCATCACAATGGACTACAGAAGCTCAAGTAGATCGAGCCGCTCGGGTTCTAGCCAGCAGTCAAGGCACCGAGATGCCAGCGGGAGACTCAACGAGGGCTCACACTACGTTAAAACCTCGAGTAGTGATCGATCACGCGAAGTCCCCCAGGGCCGTAGTGGCTATAACCGAACACGCGAACATGGTCACAGTGTTTCACCGAAAGGCAGATCCGGATACAACTGAGCCCATCGTCACTTAACGCTGCCCTTTTACCCCACTACTACACCAAATCAGCAAAAAAAAAAAAAAAAAAATGAACATAGACTAGATAAGAAAGGGTTCACGGGATAGATATTAGAGCGGAGAACACGCTTAAAAAAACAAGGAGGGGCAACCCTTACGCAGAATCAAAACGCTGATTTCAACAATGTAGGCAGGGAAAATCAGTATCAATAGAATATCGATTGAATCAACACTATTCCAAGAATCAAGCGCCGCTTCTCAATCTAATTATACAGAAGTTCCTACCTCTCATATCCCACCAGAGTCCTGTTTTCCTCCAGTTTAAAAGCGTTTTCCTCAGTCAAAGTCGATGAAGAGGCATCAACCACCCGCCAATGCGGCAACCAACCCTACATGCTCGAAAAGAATGAAAACAAAAGATCCGCCGGCCAAATGTATGGGATGCGCTTCCCATAAAGCCGAGTAACGACAAAGAAGCCGCCCCGTCTGACTGAGCCCAGCACACGGACGAAGAATCAACCGCCTTACAAAGTAATCGCAAATAGCCACACCGATAAACAATTCCAAGCTAGGCAGACCAGTATCTCAACTCTCAAAAGCATCTGCGCAAGAAAACCTATGTCTAGGCATCACACCGGAGGTCTGAAAGCACTCTTGACGAGACAGTGCTCACACTCAATGTACGACTCATTCGACGGGACCCAGTGCAGACGCCGACAGTCACAGACCGACCACCTCTCTTCCGTCAAGGACGTGATGAGCTTCCTCTTCTCATACAGGCCGTCTCTAACGCCGCACTCGATGCAGAAGCGACGCAAGAGACCTTCGCCGTTCTGTAGCGTCGGGAGCCACGACTGCTCCTTGTCACCATCGGCTTTGCCGGCGTACCGCCCGACGATACAACCTTCAGACGACACGACGAAGTAGTCAGGCAGCTTATCGAAGGCGGCCTCAGGCTTGATAGTGTGGCAGCGATAGCATCCATACCCCTTGAGCGAAGCTGCAGTACTACTACCGGCCTCCATTGACTTTTCCCTTGTTGTAGAGCTCTTCCTGCTGTCTCCTTTGCCCTTACTTTCCTCTTTCTCCGGCCACCCGCAGATCTTGGGGATCTTTCCTTCAGCGTGGATGATGAAGGCCGTCTTGCAGGAGTCAGATGCGTACCACGGCTGGTAGCCCTGAATGCGCCAGTACGGCCCTCCGTGTAAGGCGTCCCAGTCGACTTGGTCGAGAATACGGTTTCGAAGGGAAGGGCACATGTCTTGGAAGAAGTGGGAAAAGTCATGGTACGGTCTGGGGAGAGTTGACCTCGAGAGGGCCGAGAAGGTGACGGTTGGCGTAGGCGGGCTTGATTCGGCTGTAGATGGCTGGATAGGGCTGGATGTTTGGCTTCGGATCGGAGGTGTAGACGTTCTGCGATGACTTGGGAGGTTACTGAGGAGCCTCGGGCGTCTTGAAGTAGGTGCGATAGATGGGTCTGAGGCTATGCGACGTCTTGGGGCGGTTGTCGAGCGTCGTCTTCTAGCTTGGTGTTCGGCGGCTGAAAGTGCCATGATGAAGGTTCTGAGATTCCGGGATGATGTTGTATTTCTTGGTCGATTCGCTTGTGCCTTTCAAGTAGATGTTCTGGTAGGTGTCAGTTGAATATGCCTTCAATAGACTGAAGCAGGCAAACCCACAAGGAGGAGTTGACGAAGTTGTCAAGACTAAGCGAAAGTTCAACAAAATATTATCTTCGAGGGATGAAGATTTATATGGCAGATCGGGAGGATTTCGAGGTGTAGTTGCGGTCGTCCAGTTCTTATACACTGTCTGGGGGATCCAGGTGCTTGAATATTGGATTTGCATGAAGGACGGGATGCTGGGCCATCTGAACAAGCGTCACGACGAAGCAAGGAGGAAAGAGGATGAGGAGGAGCCAAGCAAGGGCTAACAAGCGTACCCTTCACCTCCAACAAGAGAAGGAGACGAACAAGCACGCGCAGCAGCGGCTACACACCTGACAAGGGGAAGGGGGTGTAAGTCTTGCAACTTGCAGATAATGCATTTCAAAGTGAGAAGTGTGCGATTCACTTACCTTTTTGGTTCGTCAAGACTTACCGTAGTAACCTATTGCCAACGGCAAAACTCGACAGTCTTGAACCTCATCCCATTCATGCTCTTCCTTCTCATGTCTTTCTGCTTCTGACTATGTCCTAACCATCGGTCATTAGAGGACCCTCAACCATCTCACCATCGCCCATCATCGCTCTTGACATCACTACCAGCCCGTTCCCGTCGGGACAAGACTAGGCACACAAACACGGCCGCCGGAAAAGCACGATGACATCCGAGGCTCCTCGGAGTCTCCATTCTCGTTGGTCGAATAGACGAGGGGACATTGGCTCAAGGCCTATCGCAGGCTCTGATACACTCACCGGCCGGGCCAGGGTTTCCCTGCAGTTGCAGATCGAAAGAGGCACCTAGACTAGCTAGACGCCATATCCAGACTGAGAGATTTTGACGGTGCCATGGCATAAAACCACACGCAGGGGACGGGTAGAGGATAAGGAGGAGAAGGGAAGCCAGACTTGGGTGAATACTTATTTGCCCTGCAGTGGCGTCATGCCAGAGAGGGAAGAAGTGGAGAGAGAGGGGGGGGGGGGCTTTCACTTGTCAACTGGCATGGGGAAAAAGCAAAGATGAACGGATGTTCGAGTTTCTCGTAGACCGTGGGAAACTGTGGCAAGGTCTTGCACCAACAAGCGTGTTGCAACTTGCAAGGGGGGGTGTTCGACCAGGTTCTGGGGCTCCTAGCAGCCCGGGTTCTGGAACCGCATCTCTGTTAGCGGTTCCCAACTTCCTGGAAGTCTGATTTGAACACGGCATGGCGAGACTATGGGGGTTGGTGGGCATGTCCTGTCCAGTCCAGTTCAGGGCAAGTTGCACAATAGGGCTGGTCATGTCATGCCATCAAGTTTCCGCTCACCGGCAACATATGCACACTTCAAAGCAGACACTCTCCGTCGGATCGGTCTAGACAACGTCTATTATTCGAGACTCATATTATTCACTTGCTCAGAACAACTTGTGTTCAAGTCGAATTCGCAGCTATTCTTTTCCAGAGGGAGCCAAGGGCGCGATCTTTCCGAGACAATATCGTCCAGCGTGCCTACAGAGGTTTCGGAAGCGGATCTGGAATACTGCCTGCCCTCCTCTGCATCCGAGATATGTCTTCCCAAATAGGTAAACAATGTCGTTGATAGTGACAGGGGGAGGCGAGTGATGCCTGACGGATCTCACGAGTCACACATCGACAGCCCAACGCCACGAATCGTGAGGGCGGATTCGCGGATGGTGATATGCAACCTGCACAACCGTTTGTAATTCGCGCATCATATCCTTCAACCACGTTCTCCCGTCACATCACGTACTGGTATTACACAACAAAGAGGCAGAGGAAGAGGCAGAGGACGGAGGCTCCCCGCTCCACTACGGTCGACAATTATGACCAGCCGCTCGAATCGCCGACGGTGCGCCCAGAGCAAACTGCATACGAGAGCGGAAGAAGGGAGATTACACGACGTAGCATCTGGTGTGATAAGTGTGACGACCCAACGTGTCGGTGCCGGCGTGCTGGAATTTATTCAAATTCTTGAACGTGCCGCCTCCAACAACCTGGTGAAAAGTAGAAATGAGGTGAGTTGGGACGGGGAATCGGAACCCGCCCTTCCCTCACCCTGCACGTTCGGCCGCGGGTCGAGGTCCTTCTGTCTCGACTCTCTCTTTCGGAGTCTCTCTCCTCACAGCCCTGCTCCCCTTGCTAGCGCTGGCCGCAAAGCCGCAAACAAACAAGCGGGAACGACGTTGGCGATGCTGGTCTTTTGCCAATGCCCTGAGTAGGCATCGATCCAACACCCTACCCCGGTCTCTTCTCGTTGGCAGGACAGGGGTTTGGTTGGAACCGTTGCAACTGTGCAACCAACATCGAAAACAAGGGTTGGTCAAGGCGCGTCGCCTTTGAATACATGTATCCACATCCTCCGGGGGGCCCTGGAGGCGTGCATCCGGAGCTGGAGATTTTGTGTTCCTGGATCTTGGGCAACAAACGAGGTTTTGACTCTGGGAGTTGTGATCTACCCACCTTCAAATCCATCCTCGACATCCATGAGAAGCCAAAGGAGCACGAAGTACCACGGACTTGGAGGCTCTCCTCCTCGGTTCTAGAGCCCGTCTCCCCGATGACAATACGCTGCTACTGGGGGGAGATATCCGTAGGATGACCGATTGAACGGGAAGCTTGTCGACAACCTTGCCAAAAGACCACCTTCCCTTCTCTCTCTCTGTATTTGTGTTTCTCTCTTCCTCGGAGAGATTGAGTAGTCTCGGGGACGTTGTGCAACCCTCCCCCATTTCATCACTCTCCCATTGTCATACACATCCGATAACCCGGAAGATGCCTGCAAGCTTCGATCTGGGGATGTTGGTGGCCATCTGGCTGGCTCGCTCGTCTTCTTCGGCCTCCTTGGTCTGTAATCACCCAAGCTTCCAAGTACTATACCCCCTTCCAACCGATAGCAGGATAGCATGATTCCTGCTCGAATGTCTTTGTTTGCTTCCCCTTCCCAAATCCCGACCCATGCCCAGAGGCCGTACGGGCGCTGCGGTCTCGGCCGTTGACGAATCTGGCCACCTGAGCCGAATCATCGCGCGCGGACTGCGCTCCGTGATCCTTGGAGTTGATTGCTCTTTGATGCGGTATTACTCGCTTTGCCGTTGGCGAATATCTCCTCGTTCTGGCATAGGTAGGTAGACTATGCAATGCACCGGCTGCGAGGCAATGTCAGGATCTACGTGAGAGAGCATGTGTGCAAGGCTTTTTGATCAAAGTTACTGCATCTTGGTTCATCTTGCTTTTCGTCTAACCCGACTAGGAGAAGACTCGAGTATAAAACGAATAAAGATTTAGTGCAATCGCCCCTCTCTCTTAGTCTTCGCAGATGGGGTGTGATGATTTAGATGGCCCCCGTTCAGCGGGCCGATGAGCGGGCGCGGGCTGGGTTTCCCCTTCAGGCCGAGAACCCCGTCCCCGGTCACCCTCCCCCCTCTCTCCTCTCTTCCGATCTCGAGTTCGTCCGCTATTCCGCACAACGTAAGCTCGCTAGGAGCTTCCCGTTGCATTAATTCAGATGCGTTGAGATTGTTCTATTGACAGGGGTGCGAGGGAGAGAGAGGAGAGGAAGGATTCAGACGGCGTAAAGGCTTCAGAGAAAGAAAGGGTGGACTGGGAGAAGAGAGCAAGGAACCGGGACAGGTAAGTGAACTGAATGTGTCAGCAATTGTTTGCTTCTTTTGTGGACATGTATCGCCATGGTTTATTGGTATACGAGATGGTAAGCACCTTGTTACTCCTGCTGCGTTTCCTTACGGCAAGCCGCAGCTCATTTTAGTCACAAGACCTCTCCCCGCGGCGCGACTCGGCGCGAGGCCGCGTGTGTGAAACCGCGGCCGGGCCTGATCTAGATCATGGACGGCGGAGGCTTTTATGTCGATCCGTCTCGATGTTACGTTTTGAGTTGATATTGCCAGTCGAGGTCAGAACGAGAGACGATCGAGGGGCCAATTTCTGTACCTACCGACGTATGCCACTTTTTGGGGAATAAACGCCAGGCTGGGCATTGTCGGGGTGTCACATGAGCATGGCCAATCCATCATCTCCCGCCGGAACGATACATTGCCGAGAGAGAGTGAGAGAGAGGGAGTCAGATATCAGCCAGCTCGCCCGGCAAAAGGTCAAGTTCTGCCGGAACCCAAGATCCAGTTCACCGGTCGTGTTCCGGTAAAGGATGCGGACATTGGGATTACAAGAGTCATTGACAACGGCCCGATACAATGACACCTCACACCTCACATTTGGCGCGTATTATTCTTGTTGGAACTGGACATCGTGTTGGTTGGGCCACAGTTGGGCTGTTGGACCAGGCCACTGTGACTTTGTGACACGTCTCTCTCCCCTTTCATTTGTTCATTTACCGCTCTCCAGCTCAAAATCACAGGAACGGGGGGACAAGGTCGGATTCGGTATTCCGGTTTAAGCGCTCAGCAGCTCGATAGCGTTTGCGGCGGTGGTTATGATCAACATGGATGCGTCACGTCGCCCGGACAGGTCGTTCTCGAAGTGGCAGGCTCCGGCTAGGAAGCGACCAGCCTGGAGACAGCTGTGAGTCTTGAGAGAACGAGAGAGTTGGTAAAGAGGGCGTCTGGTTGCGTTGTCCCTAAT